GAGGGATAGAAGGGCCCTGCTCCTAGGAGCATACAATCTAGGAGTTTTAAAGACCGTTAGCCTCCTATTCATTGGTAAACCTATGTGCCACTGCCAATTACATCACAGCTGCATGTTTCTTTACACAGTTAAAGATAAAACATGACTGGCTACCACCAGCAACAAACCACTTTTCCCCAATGTGGATAAATCGTTCTGTAGAGATCCCTCAGGATTAAACTTATTAACTAGACACAAGCCTGCCTTACAGACACATGTTGGTTACTATTCACACATAGCGGAGAAAGTTAGAGAGTTCTCTCCAATTCTCTCACATGTGTGTCAACTTCTTAAAACAGAAGCACAACCTACGATTATTCAGTCTTTATCAACCAACATGCCTAGGTAGTTGTGCCACAAGTTTATTACCCGTGACTTGTGCAGCCACACTCTGTAACATATTTTGCAAATTTTGTGAATCAGTTATGCTTAATACCCCAAAAAAGAATAAATAAATAAATAAATCCTTTCAACACGTAATTGAAATGAGCCATTTATTGAAGTAAAAGTGTTTTATGGCTAGGCTACAAAGTCAATTGCTACGAACATTTTAAACATTTAGAAATTGAAATATCCAGTGACTAATTTCATGGTTTCCTTCACAGATCAGTTAGTATGTGATGGAGCACGCAGGAAACATTTTATCCCGCAGCCCTGTCACCGAGCTCTCAGAGTGAGGAAAATGCTAAAATGATAAATAGCCTTCATATATCTCTTTCACCTATGAGTGATAAATACTGTCCTTTCTGTCATTGTGAAGAGTGTGTCACTTTTCTCCTTTTGAGCAGAAAAAAAATCCTTGTTTTTGTTTATTATCTGCAAATACTATTTCAGTCAGTATTTCTCTCCGATCTGAAAACAAATCAAATCATCCTTTCCCTTCTGTTACTTCTCTTTTCTAGTAAATAACATGGAGTTTATCTTAACCACTTGCCGCCTCCTCACAGTAAATGTACTGCGAGCGGGCGGCAGGTGCAAGCTTGGCTAACAGAATATGTTGCTGGCTTTCTTATGGGTTTAGGGTCCCCTGCTTACCTGTACTCTGATTGGACACAGCGCGATTTTATCAGCAGGTTTTAGCTAATGATTTATGGCTGAAACCAGCTGATTGGCTGTGTCAAATCACAACATGAAGTCCTGTGTTTACAAACAGAACAGTGCTCTGGTGACCCGATTTCCGCCATACCTCATGCTAAAGTCCTAATCACCGCCATACCCCATACCAGTGTCCTGATCACTGCCATACACCATACCAGAACCTGGCATTTTAGGGTCTCAACTGATCAATTTTCAAATATATATCCCATACTTTGTAGACTCTATAGCTTTCACACAGACCAAATAATATACACTGTTTTGGGTTATTTTTACTCCAAAAATTTAGCAGAATACATTTTGTCCTAACTTTATGGAGAAAAATTTTTTATTTGCAAAATTTTGTAACAAAAACTTCGCAAAACTTTTTTTTCAAAATTTTTGGTATTTTTTCATTTATATAGCAAAAAATAAAAAACCCAGTGGTGATCAAATACCACAAAAAGATAGTTCGATCTGTCTAAAAAAAAAGGATACACTTTTTATATGGGTACAGTATTGCATGACTGAGTAATTGTCACTCAAAGTGTGATAGTGCTGAAAGCTAAAAATTGGCCTGCACTGGAAGGGGGTGAAAGTGCCCAGACTGGAAGTGGTCAAAGGATACGTTTACATTTGAGAACATGTTACATGTTCCACCTGTTTTTAGGGTGGAACATGTAACATGTTCCCGCTCCTACAGCTGTAACGTATTCCCCGTACCAGCTGTCACTTTTTGAAAAAAAGCAGGGCTTTGCCCACACGGTCTCGTCATTCATCCACAAAGTTCTGAATCAACTATAAGTACCAACATCCTTTTGCGGCTGTCAGCTTGTAGTTCTCAATGAAATACCACGGCACTGTAGAGCGCTCTGGTAGTTCACTGATTCTTCCTGTCAAAGTGTAGCTGCCTGCCTGTTCGATGTACGGGCAAACAGCTTACACTGACAGCCTGCAGGAGTCCTGGCATGGCACGAGCAATCTGCTGATCGCTGGTCCAATGCTTTCCAGGCTCCTAAGAAAACAATGCAAAAAATGAGCATTTATTATTTTAAGTTGAAATTATCCTTTAAATAATCTAATCTCTTAACAACACCCCAACATTTATTTATACTTTAGTACGGTGGTCTCCAACCTGAGGCCTGTGGACCGGATATGGCCCTTTTTTGTTTTTATGTGGTCCTTGAGGCACTATTCTTCTGACTGATACGAGGCACTATTGCTTCCACTGACACCAACGATGAGGTACCATTCTTTCCACGGATACCAACAGTGGGGCAAAATTCCTCCAATAGATACCAAAAATGTGGCACTACTCCTCTAACACAATCCTACGATGGAGCACTAGCCCTACTACTCACAACAACAATGCAGCTATGATTGGAGGTACTATTCCTCCCACTGATACCAATAATGCTTAGTCTACAATCGCCTGAGCTCCTACCTCACTGACAACAACCTTCGTGACCCTTTACAGTCTGGCTTTCGCTCACTACACTCCACTGAAACTGCCCTACTAAAACTCACTAAGGATTTACTAACTGCTAAAACCAACGGCCACTACTCTATACTCTTACTACTTTACCTCTCTGCAGCTTTTGATACTGTTGACCATCCTCTTCTCCTCCAAAAATTCCACTCTCTTGGCCTCCGAGACTCCGCTCTCACATGGTTCTCCTACTGATCGCAGCGCTCCTTCAGTGTTACCTATAACTCCTCCTATCCACTTCCTCTTTCTGTAGGGGTCCCTCAAGGTTCTGTCCTTGGATCCCTTCTCTTGTCCATCTACACCTCCTCCCTTGGTCACTTGATAAACTCCCATGGCTTTAAGTACCATCTCTATGCTGATGACACACAAATCCATCTTTCTACTCATCACCTCACCCCTTCAGTCTCCTCTCGAATTAATAAAATACTAAGTGACATATTGGCATGGATGTCACTTCACTTACTCATACTTTCTAGAACTGAGCTCATACTATTCCTTCCAGTCCGTGCCCCCTCCCATCAAGATCAATAATATAACCATCAGTCTCTCCCCTCATGCCAGGGTACTAGGTGTAATCCTAGACTCCCATCTGTCCTTTCAGCCCCAAATCCATTAACTGTTCAAATCTTGTAGACTTCACCTCCGCAACATCTCCAAGATACGTCCGTTCTTAACCTCTAAAACTACTAAGCAACTTATTCACTCCCTTGTTATCTCTCGCCTTGACTATGGTAACTCCATCCTCATTGGCCTATCTCATCGCAGGCTATCCCCTCTTCAGTCTATCATGAATGCTGCTGCCACACTCATCCACCTTACTAACCATTCCATATCTGCGATCCCTCTCGGCCAATCCCTTCACTGGCTTCCCATTGCCCAACGAATAAAATTCAAAACATTAACAATAACATATAAAACCATTTATAACTCTGCTTCCGTCTAGCCACTCTGCCATAAAGCCCAGATCGGTGGAGGGCTGCAGTGATGGTTGTCCTTCTGGAACTTTGGCTTAACTCCACACAGCATCTTTGGAACTCAGAGTGACTATCGGGTTCTTAGTCACCTCTTACTAAGACTCTTCTGCCCCGATTGCTCAGTTTGGTCAGGCGACCAGTCCTTGGAAGAGTCCTGGTTGCTCCAAACTTATTCCATTTGAGAATTAGGAAAGCGATTGTGCTCTTAGGAATCTTCAATGTAGCAGAACATTTTTTTAGCCTTCCCCAGATCTGTGCCTTCCAGTAATCCTATCTCTGAGCTGTACAGGTAGTTTGTTTGACCTCATGACTTTAATTTGGATACAGTATACATTGTTAGCTGAGCCTTTTATACAGAGGTGTGTGCCATTTCAAATCATGTCCAATCAATTTAATTTGTGCTGTTGCAATAAATTTTGCAAACATAAAACTCTGTGTTCACTTTGTCATTATGGGGTATTGAGTGTAGATAAATGAGAAAAAAAAATAAAATTTAAACAACTGAAGTATCAGGATGCAACATAACAATATTGAAAAAGGTGAAGGGGGCCTGAACACTTTCTGAATGCACTGTGTGTGTGTACATACACACATATACATACATACACTGTACATCAGAAATCTTGTCTCCAAATATCACCCAAACTGTCCTCTCCTCTCACGACCTCCTGCTCTCTAGCTCCCTTGTCTCCTTCTCCCATGTTCGTCTCTAGGACTTCTCCAGAGTCTGCCCCATCCTCTGGAACTCTCTACCCCGATCTATCACCTAATCTGCCCACTTTTAGGCAATCTCTGAAAACTAACTCTTCAGTGAAGCCTATCCTGCCTTCAGCTAATAATAGAATCTTCTATTCCTCCTACCAGTCCATCCCCCACAGTTATTACCTTTTGTACCACTAGCCCCTCCCTCCTAGATTGTAAGCTCCAAGGAGCAGGGCCCTCCTAACACTCTTGTATTGAACTGTATTGCTGCTGTATTGTTTCCCTTTATATTGTAAAGCGCTGAGCAAACTGTTGGCGCTATATAAATCCTGTATAAGAATAATAATAATGAAGAGGCACTAGTCCTCCTACTGATACTGCTGTATATTTTTTTTTAACTCAGTTATGCTGGGGCATTCTCTACTCCCACTGGCCATAATCTGGCCCCCTACCGTCTGAAGGACAATAAACTGGCCATTATTTCTTAGGAAAGTGTGGAAACCCGTGCTCTAGAACATCCAGAACTATGACATTCCTATGATACTTTGCACCATCTAGTAATCAAAATATGGTATTGCCATTTTAAATTAATGAACCATGTACACATGTACAGTACATTCACTTCCACTGAGTGAATTCCTTTGCACAATTTCTTTATAACAAACACCTAAATATCATATTAGGACCAATATGAAAGGCTGCTATCCGTTTCTATAAATTACCTTGCTGTCCTTGTCTTGCTTATTAGCAGCAGAAGAACTTAAAGGTGCAGAAATACTATCAGGAGATGAAGAGCTTCCAGTGGCTGCAGAGACACATTTCCAACTGCCATCTGCCTCCACAGAGGTCCCGCTGTTACCGCTACAGTTGGCAGACATTGGCACAGTTGATCTGTTGAGATTCATGGCAGCATTGATGTATGCAGCTGAACTTGAAAGCTGTGGCTGCATTTGTTGGGCAGGAGAGCCTTGGTGGCCATTCCCAGATGGTCCCTGGATAAGGGAAGAGGCATTCTGAGCCTGGATGGGAGTAACTGCAGCTGTCGGTCGCTCCTGATTATGGGCAGCGGCTGGGAAAACAGAGAAATAAGTTGATGAGCACCATTCAGTCAAAAGACATTAGGCATACATGTTAGCATTATTAATTGCTAATAATATTTGATTTAGCATTTAAAGCACACCAACTTTCAACCCTTGGTATTTGTTACATATATTTTTAATATCTAAACAAAAATCTTCATTTTTATATAATTAGCATTTATGATTTTTTCTTATGGGAATAGCCATTTTAGTCTCATTCATAGACAATTTCCTGTAGCAATATCTCATTTTATGGTAGCCAACTCTGTGTAAAACTAGATAGGAAAATTAACATATCTTGTATATATGCTTTTCTACATTTGTCTTATTTCTACTACTCTAATCTAATCTGGGAGAAAGGCCCAATTCTTGTGGAAAGCAAAAAAAAAATGTCTGAGATCTTTGTACATAGCTAGGAAGGAGACGTTAAAACACTGTCTGATCATTATTGTTTTCCTTTGATAACATGAGGAGCATGCAGCACACTTGCTCTGCTTATCTCCACTGGCATGAAAACCACTGACAGCCCATAGCAAGAATTTATATTTAGGGACACATTGGCCAACACAGATGAAAGGGTGATTGGATTGTGTATGCACATTCAACTGACCTCTTCTATCTATGGCCAAGTTACCATTCTACAAAAGAAATAGTAACACATTCTTATTTCAGAGCTGATGGTGGACAGTAAAATATGAACACTCACTGTATTGGCTTTCTCTCTCCCTGGGGTAGAAAATACGGTTTTAAAATTCAGTAACTGAAAGATATTTGGAGGTTCATGTTCTCGGGGCCTCTTCCCTTCATTTTACATAAAACTCATAGTGACTACTAGAAATTGTATTTTGATCTATTAAACTGAAATAACATAAAGCTCAAAAGGCATTATTTGTTGATACATGCCCAAAGAGGGGGTGTCCTCTTTGGAAACTTCTTCACAGCTTCATGAAAGACCTGAAGCTATTAACCCACACAGAGTCAGATATTCAAAGTCAGAAAAAGGCCAGGCATCCCTGCAGTGAAGATATCTATATGATCTGGGAAATACTTCATTACAGGTAGGCTGGCTAACTCACTAAAGCTATGGAGACTTTTTTTAATGGTTACATTTAAGAGTGAATTGTGTGCTTTGAATGTATTACATACGTATTAATGCTTGGAGAGTAAAGTTCTAATAAGCCAGGGCAACCTGGTACATTTTAAGGGGGAAGTTCACCTTTTGGAGCATGTTACACCCATATTTAGGGTGTAATATGCTCCAGCACCTTACTTCCCCCTACAGTGACAGAGGGTTGGGGTTCCTCTCTCTGCACCTGCTTTTAGATTATAAAAACAGTTCTCTGGCTGCACAGCTATGCCATTCAGTCACAGGAATCTGCAAATGAACAAACTACAAGTGCCATCTGCCACAGACAACTTGTAGTTTTCAATGAACTGAGGGTGCTGGTGAGTGCACTCATAGTTTATTGACACTGCCTACAGCTTTCAAACAGAAAGCCCATACAGAGGTACAGGCTAGGGTTGCCACCTCATCCCTTTAAAACTGAACACATATTAATTATACAGGTTCTGAGGTTAATTTGATGCAGTTAAGGCACTAGGTGAGTTTAATTACCACCTTAATCAGCCACAGAACCTGTGTTATTAATGTGTTCGGTTTTAAAGGGTGAGGTGGCAACCCTAGTGCAGGCAGAAAGCTGTAGCAGCTGTCTGCAGGAGCCTGACCCTGCACCCACAATCCACTGATCGCAGGTTCAATGCTCTACAGTCTCCTGAGGAAAAAAAAATATATGCATTTTTTTTTGCCTGCAAAAACATGCTGCATTATTTTTATTTAAAGGAGAACTTAGCATTTATGTTACAGTTAGGCCTCTGTTTTTCATGCAGTTGTAAATATGTCATGCTTTTTTTAATGCAATTTTATGCTTGACATGTCACCATGTAACTATAATCTCTTGCAAGAGACCTGCTAACCACCTGCTAACAATGAACTCATTAGCTGCACACTGTTTTCATGAGAAACAAATTGTGTATCCTCAACCGGATTTAAAGATATTATAGCTTAGGTTAAAATGAACAGAGATCTATTTAGTCCGGGAATGACATGCAAAGATCTTCTTCCTTAAAAATGGGTAGTCTGAAGCATGCAAGTTTGTGGTACCCCTATAAACTTCTTTTGCAAACTCGTCAAATTAAATGGTTGTATTAATATACCTGACTACACAAGAATAAAACGCACAGTCCAGTAAGGTATTTAAAAAAAGTAAAACAATATCCCAGGGCACGAAACCTTACTGGCCAGTAGTGACTGAGATAGTTCCAATAGTCATCCCAAATCCACTTGAGGTAGAAAAATCAAAAAGGTAACACACAAAACACAGAGCAAGGACATTGAGAGTATATATGGTATCCTAATAAACAGCCCAGATGATGGTGCTGCTTAGTGTTATGACTTATGTTCGATTTGAATATCATGCCCAACACAGGCCAAACACATGAACGGTAGGGGCATTCGGTGGGATCTTCATCCGCCACAGGTCAGGTGCAATGCTTTGGCCAATCACAGCTCGTGATGATGTCACAAGGGGGCGGGGTGATTTTCACAACTAAAATACTGCATGACTTAATAATATAACTCATGCGGTATTTTAGTAGCTCTGCGGTATCTTACCACATACTCAGATGTGGCAGGATACCGCTTAGTGAATTGTCCTCAGTTGTGGTAGGATACCAACTAGTAAATTGTCCTCAGATGTGGTAGGATACCGCTTAGTGAATTGTCCCCTCTCTTTGAAGGTCATGGTCGAACTTTCGTTAGATTCCAGTGTTTGACCACGAACCGAACAAGGGGGTGTTTGGCCTATCCCTAGTGCTGATGTTTTTTATAAATTGGCTGTGAATGCAAATTATGGACTAATTCCAATGTCACTCTAATGCTCAACTACATACCCAAGCAATAAAACACTCTTGACAAAGAGGCAAGAGCTAGAAACATGTCATCTTGGAGACCCTGTATACTTACTGGCACTATGGACTCTGATAATATGGCCACCTGAGGACTTCCTGTTAACAGTAATGCACTTCCAGTTTGACGGAGCAGCTCTAGCATCCCCGCTGGCTCGAATGCTGCAGCTTCCTCCAATCCTACCTTCCGGGGAGCATGGATCTTGACAAATTATACCCGATAGTTGGGTTGTTTGTGAGAGTGTGCCTTGGACAAGAGTCCCACCATGGTTTAGAAATGCTTTTCATTCACTGCACACCACAGAAACCAGTATAAGCCCCATTTAAGATCACTGCTTTTTATGTGGATACCATTTACTCACAATGGACTTTTTTTTTAACCCCTTATTGATTCAAACTGTCCATTGGATTCTATATGAGATAGCATATTAATTCAACACCACCATAAGAGTGTTTATTGCTTTGGCATGTAGTTGAACATTATGTGTGGCACTGCAATCAGTCCATAAGTGGCACTCACAATCAAGTTATTTATAAAGACATCAGCACCATCATCTGGGCTGTTTATTAGGACATCATATACACTCTCAAAGTCCTTGCACTGTGTTTTGTGTGTTACCATTTAAAAAAGTAAGGAGCCCTATTTGACAAAAGGCTGTCCAAAGAAATGCACCTCTGTGAAGGCTGTGTCATCTAAAGTGACATGCACTGTACCTACCCATGTTCCCCATAACAATGGCAAAGAGAACCTTTCTGCATGAGCAGAAAAGCATTAGAGCACCAAGCATCACAATGCAGTTGTTGTCTATATGAACAGATCCTAAAGTAACTTTCCTGGTATTTGCTTTGCTCTACTGCTTCCTCTTTATAAAAAATGAAGTCAGTGGGTGCACAAGCCACTACAGTGTTGCTGCAGGAGATGCATGGGCAATGTGATCAGACAGAAGGACCCAAGCTGTCTACCAAATAAACACTATGGAAGGCTGGAGCAGTACCAACATCACTTTACTTCTCAAAAGCCAACAATTCAAATATATAAAGCACAATAAACCACATGAAACAAATTCATTAAAACAATGAATTCTAACAGGATACCTCACTTTGCACAATTTTCTTTGCTTGGAGCTAAGACAGCAGTGCAGAAAATAATGGAAGTTTTCATGAACAATACTTCAGTGTTATTGGAGTATGGTATTTCTAATCCCAGTTTTCATCTATACTCTATACCTGATGTAAACTGCACAAGGCAATGCTAGCTTTGGAGCTTTAATGGCCCCCAATTCAGCTTATACTGAACGATCCAAACAACAGCTGCCTAATCTAATTACATTTATTTTTACAGGCCCGCACCAGAAATGACTGTGTTTGTTTTCTTTTTTATTATTACAGTCCACATTTCAGGCTGATTTGGGTATAGCAAGTGAGCCCTATAAATTTAAATGACCATATGAGAAAATAACAATGTTTTCGTAGCTTTGTTTTATTGCTTCTCTTAGCCGGCTTTATTCTCCCATTTGGTTGAATAACTATTCAAATATTCAACAATCAGCGGTAGAGTAAAACTTGATATTGAGAACACCCTTAGCCTGAACTCAGGAAGAATTTCAAGAACTAAAAATATATATTTTTACCATTTCATCAATTTGTACTATGAAGTTTAATAAAGAGTTCTGTGAATTAAATTCACAGGAACAGATGTATAGTATCTGGCTATAAATGAAATTCTTTTAGTCTTCTAAAGCTCCCTTTTGAGCAGTAAAACAGATTTGACAATTTCACTTTGGGTAATGCATTTCTCTAAACTGCTTTGAAGTTTCAACCAATGGCCATAAAGAGACTTCTCATTTTCCATGCCAAAGGAAAACTAGCCAGAGAATGACGAAATAATTATGTCATTTGACCATTCATTTTCTAATGTTTACATCACAGTTCAACAGCCACGTACTGAGTACCGTACACTTTGTTATAGACACAATATAACTACAAACCAACAGGGAAATTAAAATTATATACACAACTGTAAAAGGCCCACCTATAAGTGCACATGTACAGTATACCTTATCTTATTAGTATATAAAGCCTATTAGCAGTGGCTCAACTTGATTTTAAGCTGTGTAAAATATTTTTCCAGCTGTGAGTTTTCTTACAGACAGTTCAGAGTATTAAAAAGGAACCTGTCAAGTCACAAATATGCAATATACCACCGCTGATTTGTTCCTGGGCTGTGTTCTTTACCTTTGCTACTTAGTGAGTCACTAACCTAAAACCCTAAGGAAACCAAAGCTGAAAAATGTGGGGGTTGTAGTGGTCAAACACGGTCTGTAAATGCCAGTTGCTTGATTGCTTGTGCCTGTAATGGTTTCTAAACCACTGACCCAGAACAATTTGGAGGTCAGAAAAGTCACAATTCCTAATCTGATCATAATGAGCACATTTAGCATTCAGGAAACTCTTGTTACCACTTCATCAAAATTTGTTGGAAAGCACTTTGTCACCTGGCTGACCTATAGGTGGTAAATGCACTTCTGATGAATGTCAATCTTAAAGGATAAGTTCACCTTTTAAAAAATAAAATAAATGCACATCTTTTTGCAGGTAAAAAAATGTGCATTTATTATTTTTTTACTTGGTGCCTGTAAAGCATTGCACCCACAATCAGCAGATCGTGGGTGCCATGCAGGACTCCTGCAAACTTCAGTGTATCTCTCTACACGTACCTTGTATGGGCAGGCAGATACACACTGAGAGGAAAAGACAATGAATGATCACAGCGCTCAAGAATGCCATGGTAATTCATTGAGAACTACAAGCTGACAGGCGCAAAGGATTTTGGTTCTTGTAGTTTGTCCATTCACAGAACTTTGTGAATTAATGATGCAGCCGGCAGGTTGGAACCCCGCACGGGCACTCTTTTTTTTAAAATGGTGACAGCTAGAGGGGGAAGAAGATCCCCCTCTAGCTGTCACTAGATGCAGCAGAGCAGGCAGCAGCTGCAGGAGTGGGAACATGTTACATGTTCCACCCATTTTTAGATCCCAGAGGTGAACTTATCCTTTAAAATGCCTACGCATTATGAGTGCTACCTGATCTGCCCATTTTAGGGGGGATCTGGCAATATTCTGATGTCTGTTGAAATGGAGTAGCCACCACTATCTAACAGCCTTGTCCAATGGCTACTGTTTCCCCTGTGCCAGCAGTGCCTCATCCGTGCTTTTTTTCTCTCCTCAAATCTTAACTCTAAATGCTGGAGTGACCCAGGTAAGACGCAACCACAGGGATCTAGAGAAGCTCATCTGGTTACTGCATGCCTAAATTTTGTCTAATGTCTGTGCACAACAAAAGATATTAAAATGTCTATAGCTTGACATACTGTCTGGTGTAACTATGACCACACACCAGTTATACCATGGTCACTATTGTCAGCAGGTGTCCTTCGGCCAAGCAGGCAGAGCTTGGATGATGATATATTATTGTACATAGAGTGCAAATAAGGGTGGGAATGTGTGCTTGATAGATACAATCATACATGTTATTAGGTTTAACAAACAATTGTATGCACTGTGGACATCTTCTGCTTATGCATCTGTCATTATGTTAATACATCATCATTGTTAGCCACTTTTAATGGCCAACACCCTGTTTACTGGCAAATCAAACTGCATAACTTATACATTTAATAACAAACAAAACTTCTCTGCATTTTTTTTTTTTTTTATTAAAAGCATACTTTGGTCGCATAGCCTATTCATACAAGTTACCAGGCAGATTCCCAACAGCCTAATATGCTGGCAGACTTAGGAACATTCTCTTTTTATAAAGACTGTCTGGTGGGTGAGTGGTGGTAAGGAAGCCCAACTGTGGGCTACAGTCAGACCTCGTATACATGAGCAGTCTTTATAAAGCAATTAAAGAACTTTCACCAAGCTTCAAAATGTTTTTTTTGAAGCCTTTAATACTCCATTCAGTTTCTGTGCGGAGATGTTAAACATACTGTAGATTGTAGTGGAAGTGATGGTTGCCACCTAAAACAAGCTGATGGCGGGTTCAGCAAGACTAACAAGACTGAAACTTGCTGAAAACCTCTTAGCATCTTGTGTAAAGTGACAAGCCTTAGGCCTCATTCGCATGGGCATTGAGGCTGTACTGCATGAATTGGGTTCTTTTTTTTCACATTTGGAGCAGCCTGGAGTTGTGTGCAGGCAGCCTATGCTAGTAAATGTAGACACCACAGTTTTACAGACATACCCATATATCCAAGTCTGACAGGCATACAGGGGTTCCTGTGCTTTTCTGAACACACACTCTCTGTGTTCAAGGCCATACACTCGCTCCTGTGTACCTGTCAAATCTGGACGTGTGAGTGTGTCCACACAGCCAATGCTCCTCTATTCACTTACATAGGCTGCCTGCATACAGCTCCAGATGTCTGAAACACTATTCAAGCTGTATGAACCTTAGCGCACATGTAAATGAGGCCTAAATGGAATAAATCATTATAAAGTAGTAGGACACGATTATTTTTTTCCTAATAATGTGACATAAATGTTTAGAGACATTGCCTTTTATTTTTACCTGTCCGGACAGCATTCCGGGCTTGGTTCACTGTCATTTGGCCACTCATATGCATCAGAACCTTAGCCTGAGGGCTGGTCTGGATATGGGTACCTGGAATGACTGTGGTAGAGACGCCATTTATATTAACAGTTTTGCTAAATTCTGGTCCATTTCCTTGTATCTTCTGGCAAGGTACTGCACTTGAACATGGTGCTACCATGTTCACCATCTGTGTAGCTCCACCTGCTGTTGCCATGACAACCTTGGGTTGTGTCCCAGTTGTTAAAGCCCTGTGAAGTACAAAACAGCCGCTTTACAAATCGCAATGGATCAATTAACAATTTGTTACCTGAACTGCCTCATGGCAACCAACAGGACTCAAACTTTCATTTTCCAAATACAACCTAACACAGCAGACTAGAATCTCATTGCTGGCTGTAGAGCAACAGAGACAGCTGATATAAAAAGCAAAATGGTTCCATATTCGCTGAATACAATGGTTATAGGGGTGGAATTCGGTAAAGCAGCCCTTAAGGCCCCATTCACACCTGTGAGTCGCACTACTGTGTTTTTTGGCACGACAGCCCAATTACTTGAATGGGCTATTCTGCATGTGACAAATGCACTAAAAGAAGCTCCCATGCCTTTTAGTGTGGTGAGCATGGCTCATTTTGTGGCATGACAAAATGTGTGTTTCCTAGCCACACTTGGGGTGCCATTAACACTGAACTGCACCTGGAGAACAATATGCATTCCCAGGAATGCGCAGGAGTGAACTGGGCCTAAAATGTATGTATCAAGGCTTAAAACTGCTCAGTTTATTTTTCTATCTGTTGTATTTGGGAGATTACTCTTTACTTCCTGTTCTTGAGGTGCAAGAGGAAGCAAAAAGAAATCTCTCAAAAGTGAAGGAAGTTTCCCTCTTAAACAGTTATCAATAGAACATTGGAAGGTTTATGCTCACCTCTTGTTTTGGTGAAAACCTGCTTTATAGATATTTCCTCTCACTTCCTGTTGTGTCTGCGACAGGACATGAAGGAGATTCTACTTAATGGGATACAGACACCAAAAAACAAACTGATGGGTTTTATGCCTTCTCTACTCCATCCAAAAACTAAACACAGAAAAAGTGTTGGATATTCATACACATTAAATATGTAAGAGATGTTATTCAATATTTACAAAGTTTGATTCACCCAAAACAAGACTTTAAACATTCTTTATATGGAACAAATCTATTTAATATCAAATCCACATGCAAAATTTCTGAAAAAAAAAAGGTTTCCTCCACAAACACTTATTGTCAGTGCAGAGATAGATCATAAATTCCAATTTTGCTTTCCTTTAACCCAACAAATGTAGTAAATGAATTGTCTATGTACTACAATACAAAATGTACACTGTGCCAACATAAGAATAGGGTGTTGCAGTGTTCCCCACTAATTTATGTAAAGGAAAAAAAAAAAAAGCCCACAGTCCAGTACTAAGACGTTTTTACGACCCACCTGGTGACTGGTGCAACATAGTTGCCCGGGAACACTCCGATCTTACTGGTGTGCATGGAAGTGCCTTTAAACCAGCCATCCTGACAGCGTTCAAATACCAAAAACATTTCACCTTTCCGAAGCTCCAGTTCATCCTCTTTACGTGGGAAATAAGGATATATGGCAACATACCTGAGAAGAAACAAAAGACACATTACCGAGCGTGTTACTCCACCAAGTCATGGTCACGATATGTTTGACAGTACGACATGTCATAGTACAAGCACTGAAGCAATAAGGCTCACACAAAACCCCATGACATTTTGCTATTATCTGTCTAGCACTACTATTATTTCATATTTCTGACATGTGCTGTGAAAATTAACTAGTGTCAAAGAGTCATGCAAACCTTTAATCTTGATTATTAATAGTTTAAAAAATTTAAACCAAAGATGGACAGATTGATAGATCACAGAGATGACGAACGTTTGATAAAATCCATTTTCCTATTTTAGTATACATTTATTGACGACTGTGCAGTGCTAAAGCTTACCTGACAACAAACTGTATAGATTCAAGTAGGCCTTTGCAAACCAGAACTGTAATGCTTTTGCATTACTTTTGGATACCTTCTAATGCAGCAGTCACCAAGCTATTTTCTTATTCCCAGCTGGAGGGTGGGAGCCGCTGTACGCAGAGTGGTAAGCAGGTGTTGGGCGCTGGAATGCAGAGGTATTTTACTGCATATAGACTGGCTTCCTGTACAGTAATCTTATTTATCTCAACCTTTCCTAGCTTAAAGCTAAACTGCAGGTATGATCTTTATTGTATATTTACATTAGCCCAGCTTGGACCAATGTATGTATGCATAGGTCATAGCTGAAGAGTCGTTGGGGAAGCTGACACTCACTGTAATAGCCAGCACTACTACTGTGATAGCCATGATCATCTGGGTCTTGTGCAAGTGACTTCTCCCCTTCATATTGACTATAGGGTGTAACTTGCTCAACATTGCTGTCATTCGTTGAACAACTTGTAATTTTTATTTTCCAATAACTTTTATTGAATGTTTTCAATAATAATGACATACAGGTAAAGATATTTAAGGGAAGGAAATAACAAGAAATAAATATTTCCAGTGGGTTCACATTACAAATAGTTAATTCACCAGATCTGAAAGAACTTATTATATACATTAAACATCCCATGAACACACAATCAAACATGCTGGGGAAAAAGGTAAAAGATAAAAGGAGAAGGGGGAAGAAAATAATTTAAGTGAAGAGTGATGTAATATGCTACACGTCTGTTCCTTCTGTCTTTTGTGCCCTTCTATAGGGATTATTTATTGTGTACCAGAGATATGCTGTATCCAGGGGTTCAATATTTTTTTTTTCAAATAAACCAATTTTATCATTAAATGTAGCAGTGGTACTTGGTACCTACAAGGATAGTCTCCTAGATTGTAAGCTCGAAAGAGCAGGGCCCTCGATCCCCTCATGTTTTGCATTGTATTGGTATTGTTCTGTCACATGTTCTGTCCCCCTTTGTAATGTACAGCGCTGAGCAAACTATTGGCGCTTTATAAATACTGTATAATAATAATAATATGTCTCAAGTGCCTCCCTTAATTGCTTTAGGAGTTGTGGAAAAGAGACTCAGTATATCATATCTGGTAGACATGCCCTAGGGTTAAAAGGTTTGAATTTGGGTTTATAAATTTATATATTCTATAACCCAGATTAACCTTAGGAAGTCTCCATCGCAAGCTCTTTTGAACCAATCCATAGCGAGGAAGACGTAAGACATAGTAAAAAACTAATCTCATTTTTATTTGTGGCACCATGGGTTGCAATTGCTAGGTCCTTAAAGTTTTCATCCATCCCATTTTCACTGCTCAATATTAAATTAACTGGATAATCACAAACAAAAAATGACCTATTTTTTTAAAAAATTACAAGGCAGTCTCTGACTGTTTTTTCACCTTTTTTTTTAGGTGTAGGAGTGTGGGCAATGTCTTAACGATCTCAACCTTGTTCAATCAGAGAATGTCTTTTATTAACTGAAAAATACAAAGCATTCAATAAATGGTGGCAGTGCTAAGTAAGCAACTCCCTGCTGTCAGTGTGCAGAGGCTATCATTACGGATATCAATGTAGTAACACCAATTATTACAGTGATTGTCAGCTTTTCCAGTGGTCTCGAAGGCATGAAATATGCATACTTACAGTGGTTCATGCAGAAAGTATGCAAAAATGATCTTACCTGGAGTTCAGCTTAAAATATAGAATAGTTTTTGAAATTTTGTAAACTTGTCTCAGCAAATCAAACATCTCAACATCTGTATGGGAACTTTTACTATATCATTTTATCAGTGTTAATGTTTTTATAAATCTAAACCTGGTTAAACACTGAGCGAATTTCGGCTGGTTGCTAATGAAAGTGATGAAATGCACTTTTGTTGGTGGCCCTGTTGGCATTCTCCTGCCCATCATTCTAGGATTGAAAAATAGAAGGAGTTGACGAAAAACTGTCAACTGAACAGTGTCTACAAGCAATCAGATGTTGATACTTTTTGGGTATTGCAACTAAATGTGTATACTTAGGGAAATCTTTTAGTGCTAGGATCCTGCCAACATATTTAATTTATGTAGCTTAAATAAATTTGCATCCTAAACTGACCATAAACGGCCTGATGACCCCCAACTGTGAGCATCACTTGCTAGAATGGGGCCATTTCTGATTTCCTAGGTTGTCAAAAGCACTTATCGTGCAAGAAGATTTTCAGACTTGTAGGATTACCTTCCTGTGACTGGGCCACATCCATAATTCTTCTTTGTAAGAAGTAAAAAAGCAATGCATTATGTGAGAGCCGCTGTCATGTTCAGGCAAGAATTGCAGCTATAACAATTTGCTCAAGGACAAGCAGCCATCTCCTTGCCGGAGGTTTTTGGGTAATAGAAAGCTGTAAAAATCATCCACAGAACCTCTTTATTAGCTTTTTTTTTTTCCCCCACTTAAGCTATAATATATATGCTTAGAACTGAAGCATTTAGATAATGAAATAATGTTTTAAATCAAAACATACGACATTTAAAGCTTCTTGGTTTGTTAATGAACTATAATTGGGGCTCCAGGGAAATGGATGTCTCCTGACGCCTGGAAAGGATGATCTGTTTGTGCAGATAAAGTAAAACCGATGTGGTGGTTGATGGTTAGAAATACATTTTAAGAAAATTTTCATAAGTTAAGTCCTTTGGGAGCATAAGTGAACTTTTCATAGAAAAGGGGATATATAATGATGGCTATTAGCATGCAGTTTACTGTGCATTTCATTTAATGAAAAGCTGAGCTACAACCATGTGTTAATTATCAGCTGTAATCATGAACAAGTCAAACAATTTGTGCACCAATGAATTCTATGTTAATTATATATCTCCAGGTATGGGTCACTGGTTCACCTCTGATCACTGTGCAGGACATATGGACTCCATGCCAAACACCTGGAATTATTAGCTATGAATAATACTATGTAGGTCCCAGTGTGCGCCTTTCATAACCAAACCAAAGTCCAGCACTAAAAATTCCAGACACAATAAGTCTCACTTTTTAACTTAGAACATTTTCATTTGTAATCGTTTGTACTGTACATCCAAATGTTTCTGTTCAAGTACAAACTTTGATGTCTGCCCGCAGTAAGTAATGTTTAACACATGGAGAAATGAGACTTTCGCTCAGTAAGGGTACTCCACATTGCTAGTGCATCTTATGAAATCTCGGCACTGAAGCACGTTTCAAAGTGATGTTTATTTGGCCGATCAAAAAAGAGCTCTGCATGTAATTGGGAAATCTTTAATTCTTGTCGCACATCTGGACTGAGGAAACATCACTGAAAGAGCCAGCAATCAGAGAAGGAGCAATAGCTGATGTGAATAATATAGCTGGTATAGCTTAACATGACTTCTCTGTGCTCTGCTGATGGAAAAAACTGCAGACCAATTTTAAACTAAAATGGCAACTGGTAAACCCATACCAATGCACACTGGTTATATGAAGAACACTATTTTTCAAACATGCTACATTACGTTATACACTCACTGGCCACTTTATTAGGTACACCATACTAGTGCCAAGAAAATATCTCCTACACCATTACACCACCATAACCAGCCTGAACCGTTGATACAAGGCAGGATGGATCCACGCTTTCATGTTGTTTACACCAAATTCTGACCCTACCATCTGAATGTCGCAGCAACCAGTCTGCCAATTCTTCTCTGACAACAAGGTATTTTGGATCATTCTCTGTAAACCCTAGAGATGGTTGTATGTGAAAATCCCAGTAGATCAGCAGTTTTTGAAACACTCAGACCAGCCCATTTGGCACTAACAACCATGCCACATTCAAAGTCACTTAAATCCTATTTCTTCCCCATTCTGATGCTCAGTTTGAACTTCAGCAAATTGTCTTCACCACATCTAGATGTCTAAATGCATTGAGTTGCTGCCATATGATTGGCTGTTTAGCAATTTGTGTTACCAAGCAATTGAACAGGTGTACCTAATAAAGTGGTCAGCGAGTGTACATTATACTAATTTAACCCAGTTCTAATTTCATTTAATAGCTGGGTGTCTGGAGTGTAAAAATACTTTTTCTGCACAAAAAGGTATATTCTACAATGTCTGGTAACCCATAGATCCACTTATCTTCTCATTCATTCGCACAAAGTTTTCAGTTCACTCTTCTGTTATAGTCACCTATCCCCTTTTCTGGAGGTCCCTAATGCTCCATACAGCTATGCAGCTTGATGGGACCACTAGGATGGAATTCTGTAAATGCACTAGGTGTGCGCAGTCAGCAAACAAACTAGCATAAAGGCCTGCTAGACATATGGATGTTGAGAAAGATCTGTAATTGAACACTGTGTGTGTATGCGCAATATGAATTGATGCAACAGCAAACCTGGGCATTACAAAGTCATACGATGCATTGACAGACTGATTTCAGATAATGCATCTGTGCTGAACAGTCTTCTGTGTGTTTCAAGCAAATGAATGATTTTCAAATGGTCATCTCTAACACTGGGTATCTGAGAAATGTGTCTTGCCAGTTTTGCCTGTGCTGTAT